AAAAAAAAAAAAATAGTTGGATGTTGTGGTGGGCACCTGTAGTCCCAACTACTCGGGAAGCTGAGACAGGAAGAGAATTGGTTGAGCCCAGGAGTTTGAGGCTGCTGTGAGCTATGATGCCACAGGACTCTACTGAGGGCAACAAAATAAGACTCTGTCTCAAAAAAAAAAATTTACAGTGCCCATGGGGCAAGTTGCCTAGCACAACATGGGTCCTCTCACCAATGCCACGTGGATCTTGCTCAGTTGCTAGGGTGCCAGCCACATATACTTGGCCTGGTGGGTTTGAACCCAGCCTGGACCTGCTAAACAACAATGACAACAACCAAAAAATAGCTGGGTGCTGTGGCGGGCGCCTATAGTCCCACCTACTCTGGAGGCTGAGGAAAGAGAATCACTTAAGCCCAAGAGTTTGAGGTTGCTGTGAGCTGTGACGCCACAACATTCTACCCAGGGCAACATAATGAGAATCTGTCTCAAAAAAAAAAAAAAACCCAAAACACCATGTGGATCTTGGGAGCTTGAAGAGGCGTCTCCTAGAGGCCACTCCAGGGGCAGGCTGTCTAGTACTCTCACCCTTGATTTTCAGCCTTTAACTATCCCTACCCCTTTCCTTTTGCAGATTGCCATGATCTCACCAGGCATAAGTTCCTGTGAATATACTTTAAACACACTGAGATATGCAGACAGGTACTAGGGCTTACAGCCAGGAGGATATGGGCTGGACTGGGGAAGGGAATGGCAGTGATGAGGGGAGAGGAGTCTCTGGGGTCCCAGTGCCTACTACGTAATATTCTATGATGTGAATCTGAGGCTTAGGAATTCAGCCATTTTGCTAGGCCTCTTCTAGTCCACTTTAGGCCCTAGTGGGGAGTCGGCATTTGTGGGAGGGTCTTTTCCAGTCTAGCTTTAGTCTAGGCCACCTTTTGTTGGCTGGAGGAAAAGTTGCTGCTCCATCCCCTTAGAGCCTTAAGCTTCACAACTTAAGTGGCACCACATTCTGGTGAGTACCATGGGAGCTGCTGTGAGATCTGACACCTTATTTCCTCAGGGTCAAGGAGCTGAGTCCCCACAGTGGACCCAGTGGAGAGCAGCCAATTCAAATGGAAACAGAAGACATGGGAGCCAGCTCTAACGGGACCTCCATGACAGGCAACGTAAGAGGCAGGACAGGGCCAGGTGAGAGAAGTATATCCTGCTGAGGTGGGAACTGAGTCACAGTTGTGTCTCTCTTCTTCGTCCCCTTAGTTCTCCAAGGAAGAGGAAGAGCTGTCTTCCCAGATGTCCAGCTTTAATGAAGCCATGACTCAAATCAGGGAGCTGGAGGAGAGGGCTGTGGAAGAGCTCAAGGAGATTATACAGGTGGGGAGCTGGCCCTGGCCATAGGGAACTAGATAGCCACCCCAGGACAACCCTTAAGAATGCTCAGTGTTAGCTCGGCGCCTGTGGCTCAAGCGGCTAAGGCGCCAGCCACATAACTCCTGAGCTGGCAGGTTTGAATCCAGCCCAGGCCTGCCAGACAACAATGATGGCTGCAACCAAAAATAGCCAGGCATTGTGGCGGGTGCCTGTGGTCCCAGCTACTTGGGAGGCTGAGGCAGGAGACTTGCTTGAGCCCAGGAGTTGGAGATTGCTGTGAGCTGTGATATCACGGCACTCTACCCAGGGTGACAGCTTGAGGCTCTGTCTCAAAAAAAAAAAAAAAAAAAAAAGATAGAGAAAAAAGAATGCTTAGTGTCAATCCTGGAATATGACCTGGGCTTTACTCCTATGAGTCTTTAAGTTGGGATGGCAAAAAACAGCCCTGTACATACACTAGGTCTCCTTAATTCTCTGCCTGGTAATCCAGCTGTGCTGCTAGGTTGACCACAGCCTCCAGCCTGGCACATGTATGCTTTCTTCTGAGCTCCTAGCCAGAACTAGTCTTCCGTCTTGCATGCTCTTGGCTGAGGGCTTAGGGGTCATTCATATGCAAAGATCTTGTCTTATTTATTCAGCGAATGTTCTAGCTCCTGTGCTGAAACCGAAGACCAGAAACATCAAGTGTAGGTAATAGGCCCGGTGTAAGACTTGAGATGAATCCTGACTTCTATTTACAAGCTGATTTCCTGGTGAAAGTTATTTAGCCTCAATGGGCCTGTTTCTTCATCCCTAAAATAGGAGAGGCAAGATGGCTATATTTGTGTTTTTTTTTTTTTTTTGGTTGCAGCCGTCATTGTTGTTTGGTGGGTCCGGGCTGGGGATCCGAACCCACCCTTAGGTGTACGTGGCTGGCGCCTTAGCCAGTTGAGCTATAGGCGCCGAGCCAAGATGGCTATATTTGAAGGCTAAGTGATACACTTGTAAAACATCAGCATATGCTGTAAGCTCCCAGCTGGTAAATAAAGCCCTTCCTCTTATGAGAAAAAGAAAAAGAAATCAGCATATCCAACCCTAAGTATACTGTAAAAAACAAATGAGGCAAAAAAAAAAAAAAAAAAAGCCAGGTACTGTGGCTCAAACATGTAATCCCAGCACTCTGGGAGGCCAAGACAGGTGGATTGCTTGAGCTCAGGAGTTCGAGACCAGCCTGAACAAGAGTAAGACCCTGTATCTTAAAAAAATAAAAGAAAACTAGCCATTGTTGTGGCAGGCATCTGTAGTCCCAGCTACTCAGGAGGCTGAGGCAAAAGGATCATATGTGCTTAGGAGTTTGAGGTTCCTGTGAGCTATGATGCCACAGCATCTACTCAGTGCAACAGAGTAAGACTCTGTCTCCAAAAAAATTAACAGGCTCAGCACCCATAGCATAGTGGTTATGGCGCCAGCCACAAAAATCCGAGGCTGGCAGGTTTGAACCCAGCCCAGGTCAGCTAACCTGCAACAAAAAAATAGCTGGGCGTTGTGGTAGACACCTGTAGTCCCAGGTACTTGGGAGGTTGAGGCAAGAGAATTGCTTAACCCCAAGAGTTTGAGGTTGCTGCGAACTGTAACACCATGGCACTCTACCAAGGGCAACATAGTAAGACTCTGTCTCAAAAAATAATAAATGATAAAAACATAAACAAAAAATGAAGAAAACATCAGCACTGGCTCAGTACCTGAAGTTCAGTGGTTAGGGCACCAGCCACATACACTGGAGCTGGCAGGTTCAAACCCGGCCTGGGCCAGCTAAAGCAACAATGACAATTACAACCCCTCTCCCCAAAAAAGAAAAATAGCCAGGTGTTGTGGCAAGTGCCTGTAGTCCCAGCTACCTGGGAGGCTAAGGCAAGAGAATTGCTTAAGCCCAAGAGTTTGAGGTTGTTATGAGCTGTGACACCACCACACTCTACCTAGGGTACAATATAGTAAGACTCTGTCTCCCAAAAAAAAAAAAAAGAAAAAACATCAGTACAGTATGTACCATGTGGTCAGTGTTCAGCAAGCATTAGACGCTGATGCTGTGGAAGGCAGACAAGACCATGCTAACAGTGGGGGCACTCAGGACTGCAGAGTGGAAAGAACCTGGCACGAGTAATGGGAAAGATTTGAAGGATGAGTGCTCAGGCATGTCATCCCCTCCAGAATGCTCAGGAGTATGGAGGTTTGAAAAGACATGGCACTTCCAGGACTAATGAGAGGTTCACTGTGGTCAGAGCAAAAGGAGTGAGCAGGTGATGGAGGGAGATCAAGGCTGTGGACAGGGTCAGCAGAGATATAATGGTCTAAAAGCCCTTATGGTAATGTAGTTCATACCAAAGGCCCAGACTTTATTTTGAGGGCAGCAGAGGCCTTTAGGGGAGATAAACAGAGTGGTAACATGGTCATATCAGAGCTTTAGATACACCACTCTGGCTACCATGTGGAGCCTAGTTGGGGGGGTTTGGGGAGAGCAAAGGTAGAGGCAGTTAGGAAAGAGTTTAAGAGAAATGTTGAAGGCCCAGGCATGGTGGCTCGTGCCTGTAATCCTAGTACTCTGGGAGTCTGAAGTGGGTGGATAGCTTGAGCTCACGGGTTCAAGACCAGCATAAGCAAAAAGTAAGACCCTGTCTCTACTAAAAATAGAAAAACTAAGGGAAGAGGATTACTTGAGCCCAAGAGTTGGAGGTTGCTGTGAGTTATGCCACTGCACTCTACCCAGGGCAACAGCTTGTGACTTTGTCTTAAAAAAAGATGTTGAAGGTATGGCCATGGCCATAGGCCTGGATTGAGGGCATGAGATTCAAGAACTATTTAAGAATCATTTAGTGGGGGTCAGCGCCTGTAGCTCAGCAGCTAGGGTGCCAGCCACATACACTGGAGTTGACAGGTTTGAATCCAGCCAGGCATTGTGGTGGGCGCCTGTAGTCCCAGCTACTTGGGAGGCTGAGGCAAGAGAATCACTTAAGCCCAAGACCTTGAGGTTGCTGTGAGCTATGACGCAATGGCACTCTACTGAGGGCAACACAGTGAAACTGTCTCCAAAAAAAAAAAAAAAAGAATCATATAGGGGATGGAACTGGGAGGATTTGGTGACAAGGTAACAGAATACAATCACTCAGATTACTGGCTTGTGCATCAGAACCATGATGCCATTTATCTGGTACAGGATAGAAACGAGTTTGGGGTAGGAAGAGGATGGATTTCAGCTGAGGGCTTCTCTGGGTAAGAGTCAGTAGGAAGAACATAGGCCAGGGACATAGGCATGGCATCTGCACAGGTGTCTACAGTGTACGTGGTAAAGTCCCATGAGTGATTTGCTAAAGTGGTTGGTCATTATTAGAACTGACCCAAGTTTTCCCTATGTTGTCACAGCAAGGACCAGGCTGGCTTGAGCTTTCTGAGATGACGGAGCAGCCAGATTACGACCTGGAGACCTTTGTGAACAAAGCAGAATTTGCCCTGGCACAGCAAGCTAAGCATTTCTCAGCTCTGCGAGGTGAGTGTGGCTGGACAGGGTGCGAGTGGATAATGGTGACCTCTGCTGGCTCCTGCATGACTGCAAGTGATAGCAGCTCTGCTCTGATGAATGGGGGCCTCCCAGACCCCCCACTAACCTCATATGCACCACCACCCCTTCCTTCCAGATGTCATCAAGGCCTTGCGCCTGGCCATGCAGCTGGAAGAGCAAGCTAGCAAACAGATAAGCAGCAAGAAACGGCCCCAGTGACAACTGCAAATAAAGATGTTTGGTTTCACCAGGCTCTTCCCTTCCCTCCCCTGTGAACTTTGGGCAGCTGGTGCATCTAGTCAGGATCTGAGCTGGGCAGGCTTCGGTAAATGCGCCACATTAATGGGGCCACCTGGATCTGGGGCAGCTGGGGAGGGGGTAAAAGTGACATGAGACACTACTTTTCCTCAGTTGATGCCCTTAAGGGAAAGGAGGAAGGAGCTTTTAGTTACCATCTGTGTTGCCCTTCTATCAAGAGGGGAGTGCTCACTCATGCAGAGTTTCCCTTGGGCAGCTACCTGTGTGGACTGGCTGCTGGTGGAGGGCACTCTGCATTGTTCTGGCTCTGGGGAGAAAGAAGCCTTTAGTCCAGCTCTCTGCTGGGTCTGGCCTGCCTTCTACCCCTTTGGTCTGAGCACTGATATGTCTTCTACTTAAAAAAATGTTTTTGGGATCTCTTCTTTCCTTGCTATTTCTTGAGGCCCATGAGGATCCCTACTGTTTTCTGTTGTATGTGTTTATACATTGTGTATAATAAAGAGGGGAAAAATCAGTCTTTTGTATGGTGTGTGGGAAGGGCTGGGATGTATCTGAGCCTTCTGGGACTAAGGACACTACTGCACTGACCTCAGGGTAGTGCCAACTCCACATCTATTAGTCCAGTGACATGCTAAACATTCCTTCCTGTGATTTATTCTATGTTTATTAGATGCTTAAAAGACTCCTGGGAATAGGAATACAAGTATAAAGAGGACACTCTTGTGTATTACATATTGCAATCTGGACAAGGCCCATTAAAAGGTCCTGTGGGGGCTGAGAGTGATGGCTCATACCTGTAATGTATGGCTCATCCCAGCACTTTGGGAGGCTGAAGCGAGAGGACAGCTTGATCGTAGGAGTTTGGGACCAGCCTGGGCAACACAGCAAGATTGTGTCTCTGTAAAATTTAAAAATTAGGCCAGGTACAGTGGCTCACACCTCTAATCCTACCACTCTGGGAACCTGAGGTGGGAAGATCCCTTGAGCTCAGGCGTTCAGGACCAACCTGAGCAAGAGTGAGACCACATTTCTATGAAAAATAGAAAAAGTAGCCGGGTGTTGTGGTGAGTACCTGTAGCCCTAGCTACTTGTGAGGCTGAGGCAGGATTGCTTGAACCCAGGAATGGAAGGTTGCTGTCAGCTAGGCTGAGGACATGGTATTCTAGCCCAGGTGACAGATCAAGACTGTATCAAAATAAAACATTTGGCTCGGTGCCTGTGGCTCAAGTGGCTAAGGCACCAGCCATGTACACCCAAGGTGGCGGGTTCGAATCCAGCCCGGGCCCACCAAACGACAGCTGCAACCAAAAAATAGCCAGGCGTTGTGGCGGGCACCTGTAGTCCTAGCTACTTGGGAGG